TCTCAGGAAGAGAGGATGCATGAGCCTGGTGTCCAAGGAAAGATAAGCCCTTGTAAAAATATATAGATTAGTAGGTATGGGTTAATAATTAATTCAGAGCTAGCCAATAAGAAACCATAGCAAAGGACCAACAGCTTCATAACTAATATAGTGTCTTGTGTGTTATTTGGAATTGACGAGACATTGGGATCAGGCTGGCAGGAAGAGTTATTGTAATAGTAAACAACCAATGTCCCCTTGTTATGTGCACTTAGTTGCAGACCAAAAATGACTCATGATACAAAATGGTTTCTTCCAGGGAATTAAGAAAACACATTGAAAAGATATAAATCCTAAGTAAATCAAGTTCAGCCTTCTACACTTCAGGGAGCTACATAAAAGGGGAATTTAAGTCTCTCTATCAATGGAAATCAAGTGAATCAAGGGTTGAGCCTGAATTAAGGATGGACAGGATGCAGGCCAGAACAAAGAGTAGTAAACACTTAAAATTGCTTATTCATCAAGAATGACCATTAGATATTCAAAGAATTAAAACTTTCACAGGGTTCTGTGGCTCCAGATCATTCTTTTTCAGTGAATATGATCTGTTACCATCTCTAAATAAAGAGATAGCATTAGGCAAACGAATGTCTGACCTTGTAGATGCTCTAGGGAAACCACTGTTAGGAAGGGAAGATAGTGGAAGAAAACTATTGGTAATAAACTATGATAAAACTCCAGTAGTAAGCTGAACCTAAACAATATGTATTTTACTGTTCTAAGTTGTTTATGTAGGTTTCTAGCATGTTCTTCTAATATGGAACTGAACTCATGAATATATATTGAGTTGAGTGGGTCAGGATAATCATACTTCTCTGCCCATATGTGTCATATGTTCTAGTCTCTTGCTTTTCCTGGAAAGCCAATGTGAGAGACACAAATATTTTGGTTCTTTGAAGTGTGATGCCATTATCTTCTCTCTCTCTCTCTCTCTCTCTCTCTCTCTCTCTCTCTCTCTCTCTCTCTGTGTGTGTGTGTGTGTGTGTGTGTGTGTTTCTGTCTCTCTCATGTTTCTCTGTTTCTTTCTGTCTGTCTCTATCTCTCTTATTGTATCTCTGTCAGTGTATTTTTGTATTGGGTATGCAATTGTTTGATAGAGGCAAATTGTATTCTGTAATGAGTATGCCATGTAGTAAAATGTACTATGCCTTGTAGAAATTTTGCTGTAGCAGAGACTATCTCATCAACTTTGAGTATCAGGAAGGGATTCTGACTGATACTGGTGGAGGAAGGATTCAACATGGAGAAGGGTATGGATCAGAGAGGAATGTTAGAAGAAGGTATATTGAGTTCAAAGGAATTGAGATCAAGTGAGCCAGGAGCCTAGAGTGCATCAGGAAGTAGGTAGATTAAGAATACAGACACATTTCTTTTGTCTTCACTGACCCTGGATTGTGATGATGTTTAGGGGACAGTGAGAGAAACACCTAAGTTAATGTCTGAATAAAAAATGGAAGAAAGAATAAAGTAAGGATGTCTCTTTACTTCCAGGATCAAACATGCTCATCCTAGCCAGTACCACAGAAATTTATTGAGAGTTCTATAAACTCTCTGGCACTCATTTGGTGAAGCTGACCTCAATTCTGGCTTAGTCTTATACTTTGTTAGTCAGTAATTTTTTATTCCTCAACTTTTTCATTTCTGTAAGAGGCAGCCCTTCCTATTCCTGTTTCTGTCTGTAAGCCTCCTCAATGTTTTTAATCCTCAGTTCATCTTACCTCTAGACAACAGTTTGTGATAGGACACTGCAGATTCTGTCTCACTACTGCTAAGGATAGAAATTTCATCAAAATTCACTGGCTTTTTTATTTTTCAAGACAGGGTTTCTCTGTGTAACTCCCTCCATAGACCAGGCTGGCCTCAAACTCACAGAGATTCACATGCCTCTGCCTCCTTGAATGTTGGGATTAAAGACATGCACCACCACCACCTGGCTTGTTCCACCACTATCTGGCTAATTCACTGGCTTTAATTAAAATACAAGAATAACATTTACAAAATTTCAGCCTTAAGCTGGTGATAATCTCTTTCCAGCTCTTCTTGGGTTAAAATGAAGGTAATGACCTTTATTTTGATGTTAATGTGATGTTAATGTAAGCCAGTTCAGGGATATGGGGTTACTAAAATATGGATCACTATTTCTGATATTATTAATTGAGGTGGTACAGTGATTTGATTAGTTCTCGACATAGACCAAAGTCACTTAGTAATGTGGGAACCTTTACAGAGGAATTGCTTCCATCATATTGACCTATAGGCATGCTCATAGGGCATTTTATTGATTAATGATACAAACAGATCAGGATACAGTGCTGTCCAAACCTCTCCCCCAGAGGACAATGTAGGAATCACAGGTTGGGACTACTGACATGACCACTTTGATTCCTCTGATATTAGTAGTTGGATGACCTATGTATTAGAGGGGGAAATGGAGTTTCTCAGATCCTAGCTATCTCTGCTGGATGCATCTAGCCCTTTCTTTCCTGGTTCACTTTGTTGCTATCCATGCCTCCACTCACAGCTTCTGGCAGCATCCTCTGTGGAAGTGTTGGTAATAGTTGAAGTTAAGATGGCCCTATTTGTTCCCAGAGGCAAGGACTCTGCTCATGTTTCTATCATCAACCTGTGTCCCTCATTATGTTTCATGACATCATGTGAACAAGTATTGTACACAGAGCGGAAAGGACCCTAGAGTATCTGAGCTGGACGGTGGCATGTGCTATCCCAGAACCCTACATCCCTTTTGTTGATCACCAGTGTTATGTGTCTCTCAGTGTCTACAGTACACTGAAGACAACACAGAATATAAGCATCATATATGTCTTCCTTCTAAAAGACTTCCAGATTATGAAGAAAGTTTGACAGGTAAACTTTTCCATGAGTGAGTTGATACACTGATTGTTTGGACAAGTGTACGCTACTGAGGCAAAGATGTGCTCAGCAACCAGAATGGGGGCATAAAGCCTTTAATCCAAGCACTTGGGAGACAGTGATTGGCAGATCTGTGTGATTGGGCTAGTCTGGTACATACACATAGTGAAATCCAGGACAGCAAGGGCCTGGCAGACGGACACTATATCAACATAAAAATCCAACACAAACCAATACAAAAAAATGCAAAAAGATCTTTTCTGGGGAAAAAACCCTCTTCTGCTAATGCAGTAGTTCTGAACTTGGGGGTTGTGACTACTACAAAGATCAACTAAGACCATTGGAAAACATATTTTTGAAAGTTTTAGGAGCTGAGATAATGTTTCTCTATCCATGTCCAGGAGATTCTGCCCACAAGCAAATTTGCCAATATATGAGCATCCAAAAATGTATTATAGGGTCACAGAATTAGGAACGATGAGAACCACTGTTGTAGAGGGAGAAATATAAAGGTCTACTCACACATCTGGACAGTAACGTGCAGACAATGGAAAATGTAACTTAAGTCATGCTAAGGCCAGCATCAGCTAACAGTAAGTCAAGACAAAGACATTAGATGAAACAAAGTATTAATCAATACCTCTCATAAACACAGGTACAAAGTCTCCAAAAATGTCATTCATGCACCATATAAAGATGGCCAGTGAAGCCAGAGAGTCTGGGACAGAACCTTCATTCAGTGGCTGGTGGAAGAAGAGGCAGACTCCCACGGCTAAGCACTGAGCTGAACTCAAGAAAAACAGTAACAGAGAGGGAGGACTGATGAACAAAGGGATTAAGACTGGGCTGCTTTAACCCCCAGAAACAGCTGACCTGAAAAGGGTTAGCTCTTGAATCCCAGGCATCAGCCTGGGAATCCAGCATGGGACTGATCAAGACCACCTGAATGTGCAGTCATTGAGGAGGCCTAGGTAATCTTGTGGCCTGTGTGTAGTAGATCAGTATTCATCCCGGGTATACAAATGGACTTTGGGTGCCCACCCAACATTTAGAGATGCACTCTCACCCTGGACTCCCAGGGGTGGGTCTAGCCCCTGCCCTGGATGAAATGACAGACTATGGACATCCTCAAGGAGGGCCTCACCCTCCCTGGGGAAATGAGGCGATATTGGGGGATTGGGGGAGGGCACGGGAGGAGGGGAGGGAAAGGGAGAGGAACCTGGAATTGACATGTGAAACAACCTTGTTTCTAATTTAAATTTAAAAATAAATAATAATTTTTTAAAAAGAGAAAGAGCTATCAGTGTTTGAACATAAGAAGATAGTCCATGTAGAAATTCTGATTACCATACAAGTCAATCTAGCAAGGTGATTCTTGGATGATTGATCTGTATGCCAACTTATTTTGCATATGTGAAAAATTAACACTGGAATTTGAAACAAAAAAGTATCCGTTTCATGTATTACTTCCCATCTTAATGCCTGTAATGTTACATTGCTTTTATGAAAGTGTCATTAAATGCCTTAAATCAGGACATTGTGTTAAGAAAATAAAACTTTCTAAGTTGTGATCACAGTATCTTGCCAGACACTCTGTATTCTACCAGAATTTTAACATATTTCAAGAGAAAAACTGAAGAGTATGTGTTGAAGACTTGGGTTAAAAGGGAATGTAGAGGGTTTTGGACATCCTAGGCACACAGAGTGACTTTATATTCTGGACTTCAATTTACTCATTTTTTTCTATTTGTTCTACTCCAACAGACAGAGAGTCCTGAAATGAGAATGTGGTAATTTATTGTACAGGAAAATGTCACAAGATAGGGAAGGAAAGAAAATATGTGCAGAAATGAGGAACCTAGCTAGGAGGATGGGACATCAAGTTCCCTACATTGTATATTCAGAGATTTTGGCCAGTCCATATAGTTCACTGTAAGTGGGGGGGGCAGAAATTCATTTCTGAGATAAGCTCTCAACCTTGCTCTATACCTAAAACACATTTGCTCCCTAGACATTCTCTCACAGCATTTCCACAACTTTTCCTATGAAAAATTGTGAAAACAATATACTTATTTTCCATATTCTGTTACCTTGAAAGTTGTGCTTCTGACTCTCCCGAGTAGGTCCCAGATGTATTGTGGGCACATCTGCGGCTATTCCAAGCCTCACAAATCAGAACCCCGAGGACTATGAGGATCATGCCAGCCATCCCCATCCTGATGAGATTCTCCACTGTTTGATCATGTGTCTCTAAGGCTGTGTTTATAGACAAAGAAGTCACAGGGGTTAGGGCAGGGCAAAATTTCACCATGGTAGCTGACAGTCCATCCAGGTCATACACCTTCCAGGGACAGTGCCATCATTTTTAATTATCAATATTCACCTGCCTTGTTTTTGGTCAGGCTGCGTAAAGGACTCATTTTTCTCAGCTGATGCTGAGAAAAGAATAAGAGGAGCAGGATGTGGGAAGTGCTTAAGAGACCCGTGTGCTTCCTAAGTTTCCACATTCTCCATTCCTGTAAATGACCGCCATTATCATCATATACACTCATGAAGTTCTGGGGTGAGCCCTTCTCCAGCTCTATCAGGTTCCCTTTTGTATTCTTTTTATTTAAATTAGAAACAAGCTTGTTTTACAAGTCAATCCCAGTTCCCTCTCCCTCCCTTTCTCCCCTGCCCCCCCTCACCCCATTCCATTCCCTTTCTGCTCCCCAGAGAGAGTGAGGCCTCCCATGGGGGTCTTCAATGTCTATCATATCATTTGGGGCAGGGCCTAGGCCACCCACTATGTGTTTTGAGATTGATGACTACCTTATATGCCATCCTAGAGCCTTCATACAGTAGCTGATGGAAGCAGAGTCAGACACCCACAACTAAACACTGAACTGAACTCCTGGAACCCAATTGCAGATAAGGAGGAATGATGAGCAAAGGGGTCAAGACCAGGCTGGTGAAACCCACAGAAACAGCTGACCTGAACAAGGGGAGCTCATGGACCCCAGATTGATAGATGGGAAACCAGCAGGGGGCTGATCCAGACCCCCTGAACATGGGTATCAGTGAGAATGCCTAGACAATCTATGGGGCCTCTGGTAGTAGATCAGTATTTACTCCTAGCATATGAATGAACTTTGGGAGCCCATTCCATATAAAGGGATACCCTCTCGTACTCTTATTAGAATCTTCAGCCTCATTGTGCTAAAACAGATGCCAATGATACACAAGATAAAAACAGAGAATTCAGAGTAGAACAAATTGGCAAGGCACTCTACTTGATGATCTGTGAGCGTGTAGTCCCTGCACTGAACAGCTACCAAGAACCATTCTGAGTATGGCATTTCTGGTGAGCTCAGTAGGGGTTGTGCAGATTTAGATCCCCAGTCTCAAATGTTTCTCCCAAACACCTGTTTTTGCTGAGAGACTCAGTCACTCTCTATGACTTTGGAAGTCCCAGGCCTCTTCTGTGTATTTAGGAACAAACAGATGTGGACAAGGTAGCCTCTTAGAGATATGATGATTTATATAGAAATTGTTTCTGCTAAGAGTGAGAACGTCTGTCTTATTGCCAAATTCTCCCAGATATTCCCCCTCACATCAGACTCTGAAATTTCTCTATGTTCATTTCAGGTAAGATGCAGATCCTTCAACTATGAGTTGTTCTCCACAACCTTTTTATCAAGATTGAAGTAAAAAATGTTAGATTAAGGTGTCATTCAGAGTGCTGTGCAATTTTGAGCCACATCAAACATCTGAAAGTGTGTGTGTGTGTGTGTGTGTGTGTGTGTGTGTGTGTGTGTGTGTAATACAGTAAAACCCACTGGGAATTTATCTGTATAATTCCCCATTAAACTTAGATCCCAAGATGGCTCTATCCTCTCCAATCTTTCTTATCTTAACAAATAACATCAATGGAGAGAAAAATGACAGGCCATAGAGTGACAAGTCTGAATCAGTTCTCCTATGACCTCAGAAGCCTGGAGTTTCAGCCATGGAAGATCATTGGAGGTCTTATCCCTGTGGTGATATAATGTTTATGACCTAATAAAGCCGCTGGAGATTAGAGAAGCAGAGCATCCAGCCACTAGCTCTTACCTCTACCTCAGATTTGGGTGGGGGTAATCCCAGTTGCATGAATCCTCAGTATAACTGGAGACTAACGTTTTGAGACTGAATACTGAATGGCACATGAGACCCTCGGCTCCTTCTTATATACCTCTCTGGTGCTAAGATTACAGGCATGAGATCTATTTCTCTTTTGTATTGATTCACAAGTCATAGAAGCCAGGCACACACCTTTAATCCCAGCAGTCAGAAGCTAGGAGGTGGCGCTGCACACCTTTAATTCTATGATTCAGGATTAAGAGATAGATGGATCTCTGTGAGTCCAAGGCCACCCAGATCTACACAAGAGTGAATCAGTGTAAAAGAGAATTATAGCTCACACCTCCAATCCCAAAATTAGGGAGGTATATAAAATAGAAGCAATATCTCAGGGAGGCATTCATTCTCCAGTCACACTGAGGAGAGGCAGAAGTTTGAGGCTTAATGAAGAGCTCGTGTGTGAACAGCCTTTTCAGCCTGAGGCAGAGGTGAGAGCTAGTGGCCAGCTGCTTTGCTTGCTTTTCTGATATTCAGTTTGGAGTTTAAACCCAAATATTAGTCTCTGGGTCATTTATTTATTTGTGTTATAGTGGGGCTGTGGCTTAAAAAAAACTCTCCCATTAGTCACTAGTCACTGTCTTCATGGCACTAAATAAAATGGCAGGGCAATAGCATAGGGCTTAGCCTCAAAAATATATTGTTCGATGATGGTGTTGACTCACCTGAGATGTGTATTTCCAGGGGATCACTGGGTACAGACCACAAGTGTGGGGTATTACTGTAGTAGCCATAACACCTGAATGTCCCTGTGTGATCTGGGGTCACATGATCTATAGAGAAAAGGGCGTGGTACTGCTGATTGCTGTGTGTGTACTGTGAGTCCAGGGAGCTGAGGAACTTCTGATCTTCCTTAGTGAGAATAAACTTTTCGTATCTTCTCCAAGAGACACACTGGAGAGTCATGTTCACTCCTGATGTCACAACAGGGCTGGGCAGGACTGACAGGCTGGGTTTACTGTCGTAGATTCCTAGGAGAGAAGAGGCAGACTGTAACATAGACTCACACAGCCACAGTGTTCTCCTGGGGTAGGCTGTGGGAGTAGAATACTTGGAGTGCACAGCATTGGCCAGAGACCTTGACTGACCCATCAGTTGTCACAGCCATTTCTAGGATACCACCATGGTCTGATCAGCCTGTTGAGGTGTAACTGTATCTGTGACATTGCCCAGCATGTTGCTGTATCACAGAAAGGATGAGAACTTGGACTACTCTGAGGTTTGTGCACCCCCAGGGTTTAGGACTTCCCACTTTATTCAAAGCATTTATTCTTGCATCCTGGATACCCTGACAGCAGATGGTCATGGGACTTCCCGAGGTGATCACAAAACCAGGCTCAGCCTTGATGGTACATCTATTGAGAGTCACTGAAAAAAGTAGCCGCTAAGGAAGTGGGTCTGCTTGAAAGTGATACAGAGTAGGTCACACTTTGAGATGACACCTAAGGTGATCCAGAGTATCAGACAACCTGTTATAGACTCATTTCCCTCCTGGACTTCCTGTATTTCTCTCTCACTGTCTGTCTTGGATTCTGTGTCTTGGGTCCCACTGCTCCTAAATTCTGTGCCAGTGGCCTAAAGAGACCTGGTTTCTCACACACACCACACACCCAGTCTTCCATGTGCACATGTAACAAGTTTAACATCATTGTAGGGAAAGGCAGGGGTACCTCACCTGAGAACAGGAGTTCCAGGGAGTCACTAGGCTCTGACCACACCTGTGGTTTGTTCCTGTAATTGCTATAACATCTGAATGTCCAACGCTGGTTGGGAGTCAAAGAGCCCTGAAAGAACAGAGCTTCAAACTGCCCAGAAGATTGGTTATATTGTGAGTCCATAATCCAGGAGAGCTTCTGTGGTCCTTCCTTAATCAGAATAAACCTGTCATATTGCTTCTTTGAGACACACTGGAGGGTAACATTCTTTCCTGGTGCCAACACAGGGCTTGGTTGTGCTGACAGTCTGGGTTTAGTGTAGACTCCTAAGAGAGAAGGAGGAATCAGATATGTGTTCTCAGATATCATTATCCTCTAGGGCTATGAGATGGGGGGGATCCTGAAAGCAAACCTACTTCTTGACAATCATTAAAAAATGGAACTGGAGACCCTGTGTGTCCTCTTATTTGTCAACAGTAGCTCTGGTGGGTCACTCTCCCCTGACTCTCCAACACAAGTCTGATAGTGACATCAATATCTCCCTGCTTGGGGCTGCTCAATTTTGAGATGGATAATTCAGGCTTGTGCTCAGACTCCAGGAGTATCTGTTTGCACACTGGATATGGGCCTCTATCTTTGTGGATATCCCACTTTTTGGCTTCTTTGGTCACCTCCCTCAAGATCATCACCTTCCTCCACTTGGAGACTACAGAATCTTTCTGAGCTCTCAGGATAGGCTTATGGAAGATCACTGCTAGGAAATAAGCATCTAGGACCCAGGGCATCCTTCCTCATATTGCAAGTCTCAACCCCACGACTTGTCAGCCAAAATCAGGATCAGCACGCAGGCACTGATTTCCATTCTCACTTCCTAGGAATGCTCAGGTATGGTGACAAGGGCAGAGGAGAAAAGATTCTGATACTCACCTGGCAGCCCTTCATTCCTGAGGTCCAGAGTCAGTCCTGGAATAGAAGTTTATGTGAGATGTTTGCCCCTGGAACTAGAATCCATCCTTTCTTAGAAGGACCTCTTTGAGGCCCTGGGGTCTCAAATGCTTGTCCGTGGGCAGGGTCTTTTCTAGACAACAGATCCCTTCCCGTCTTTACATCTCACCCAGACAGAGCAGTGTTGTGAAGAAGGTGGTCATGGTATCTCTTCCTAGAGGCTGCAGCAGTGCAAAATTATGGGCAACACTATAGAGCCTGTTTGGAGGAACAGGAAACGGGGTGTGGTCTTTAGAGGCAGGGAAATACTCAGACATGGTTGTACTTCAGACCCACAGGAAGGGGAACTGCCTTTCTCAGCACCAGTCTCTTAGGTCCCAGTGCAGTCACTAGGTCTGATAATAAACCCAGTGCTTACATAGATGATGTTTGCACAACCCCATTAGTGTCTGCCTTACCTGTCTTCATTCTGCTCAGGGACAGGGGTAGTGGCAAAAAAAGCCGAGGTCTTCCCCAAAGGTGAGATTTGCATATGTCCTTAATTACATTGTTGCAAATTTAGCAAGCATGCAATGCTTCTTCTTGGAATTGAGTAATACCCTTGATTGTTTCAGTACAACCTTTTACATATATTTCAATGGTCTTAGATAAGACATCAAAGCAGATCAGGAGGAGGCATGTCCGTTGCAAGCACTGATTCCAAGCTCATTATCCTTTGGGATGTTCACCTTTTGTGGGAGTCAGGATCTGTGTAATGATGGCCACTAATAATCACACTACACAGCCAATACTGGGCTCTCTTGAAATATCATCTGCCAACACCAATAATCCAGTTTAGACTCAGATAGATTTTGGGGGAATAATGTCAGAAAACAGTCACACTTTTGGACAAAATATAACAAGATTGGTCTTTAGGCCACTTATTAGTATTCTCCTCAGGAACCACTTGAGCCTGGTTTCTACAGTCCATATCACCCTCAACACCACTGTCTTCCATGTTCCTACTATGATGGTCCATTAAGCCCCACGTAAAGCATTGAACTGCTCTCCTAATCCAAACTGCCAAAATCTACATTACGCCAACAAACAACGTGATCAGGTCTGTCACAGCAATAGCCCACTTCTGGAATCAGTTTCTGTCTTAGTCAGTATTCTGTTGCTGTGCAGAGCTACCATGACCACAGCAGCTCTTATTAAGGAAATCATGTAACTTGGTGTTTCTCACAGTTTCAGAGATTTAGATTACTATCCTCTTTATGGGGAGCATGACACCACATATACAGACCTGACAGTTCAGAGTCTTCATCTGGATGCAATGGGCAGAAAGATACTGTGCCTGGATTGGGCTTTTGAAGCCCCAAATCCCACCCTCAGTGATGTATCTTCTCCAACAAGGCTACGCCACATAATCCCTCCCAAATAGTGGCATCCCTTGACTTGTAAGAATTCAAATATGTTGGCCCATGGGGCCCATTCTTATTCCAGCAACCACACCCTTCCAGGAATTGACATGGAATTAATTTTAAAAAGCAAATCAATTAAGCGTGACAAACTAAATCTAAGCCACACAAACTGTCCAGCTCTAAGGTGTGCTTAGGTAAGTCCTTCTTCTGTTTTAATCTACCAGATGCAGAAAACAGGGTAAAAGTGCTCATGGATTTCATTGGTGTTGGATTCTTCAGGACCTCAGTCATCAACTATCCTCAGAAACGCCATTGAACTGGATTAAAGTCATCTTCCATGTCACTCCAGGTACTTTCTTCTTCATCATACATGTGGTCAGAGCTGCTCTTGATGGAGGAGAAGGATCTAGTCACCTTGGCTTAGGGGAAATGAGGTCAATATGTGAATAGTACCAGTCTCTGGACTTCTGTGACGTGGACATACTGACTGAGAACAGGTAGACGATCCTTGCGTGCCTATGGATTCCCCATTGATGTGCAGTACTTTGCACTGTGGTATGCAGATTGGGCCCTGCAGAGAAGAACCACATCTGGAGGTTAGGATGGTAAATTTACTATGACACATGTTCAGCAGCTGTCAATGAAATGTCTTTTTCTAACAGATCTAAATTGTGCTGATGTTGTGCTAAGTGCATATAAGTTGTCCACAGGAAAGAGCTCATTTCTAAGTTACCATGGCCTTTCTGAAGCAGGCAAAAGCCAAGAAAACTTAGACACTCCCAGTATCAGAAACGACTATGACCTAAGCATCTTCCACAATCTGAAAGGAATCAAAGAGCCCTGATATATGTGAGGGTATGCACGATGAGGGTCTCTACGCCAAACGTATGAGAGGTGCTGATGATATATCCTAAGGTAAGATTGTTAAATAAACCAGCTAGTGTCCTTCCACAATAAGGCTGACTATAAGCAAGCTTTCTTGTTTATACCACCAACACTATCTCATGTAACACAGTGATTGCCTCACATTTGTTCTATACCTTGGGATGCTTCTTCAGACATGAAACATCTCTCCTTCCCATGACATAGTTTACTCTGCTTTGGGCCTGGAATAATCACCTAGCATCCATGGTCTCATTACAGCTCATGAATCATTTTCTGTTTCATTTCTTGATATGAAGGTATGGAGGGCAGAAATATCTGATGATAGATCATCTCTCTTCCTCAGTCAAACACTTCTCATTGAGTATGAGCGGGGGTTCTTCCTACTCTCTGAGAGTCTCCTCCTGTGCTTCCTTTATTCCTTCACCCTCTCCATTTACAAAACACATGGGTCCTTACCATAAGTAGCCATGTTTCTTGTCTTGAAGATGTCTTGCTGCCACCCTGAGCAAACTCAGGACGTACTGATTACCTGACTGCAGGTCATGGGATGCCCCGTCCTTTCTCCCAGAATTTTGTTTGTGCAAGAGTTATTATTACCTTCCATTATCCATGTAGTCATTGTTGTAATTTAAGAAACGTAGCAGGTGAGAGTGGCATGTGACAGTGTTCAAGCAGACGGGGTAATTTTATTAGGGAAAGAGATCATAAAAAGAGGAAGGAGAGGGGAGACTGGCCTCTAGGGATGGAAGCAACAGGAGAAAGGAAAGACGAGCAGAGAGAGACAGGAGCAGACAGAGAGAGGGAGAGAAAGAAAGAGAGAGAGGGGAGGATGGGAGGTGGGCGGGGCCCTTTTAAAGGGAACATAGTGAGTGTGCACAGGTGGTGCTCCTGGTGACTGCAGCTGAGAGCACATCCTGTCAGGACTCCAAGGGCAGGACTATACAGATACCTGACTACTAACAGTCATCGCATACCAATGGCTCATTATCTCATCCGCTTAGTCCCAAGCCACAGAGTGACTGATGTTACCAAATGGCTACTTCCAGGGACTGAAGAGCTCATATTTGCAAAGGTGACAAGAATGAGTAAATTACGTGCAGATTTGTACACTTCAGGGAGCTACAGAGAAGGGGAAGCTAAGTCTCTCTAACAATGGAAATCAAGCGAGTCATGGGTGGAGGCCACACTGAACATGGGTGGAGTCCAAGGCCGAAGTATAGCATGGCACACACTAAAGACTGCAAACCCATCTACGAGGACCATCAGCTATTCTGAAAAGGAAAATTCTCACAGGGTTCCGTGGCTCCATCTCAGTCTTATATGATGATGAATGTGGTCTGTGATTTCATCTCCAAATAGAGGGAAATATTTTAGGCAAAGGAGTATTTGACTTTGTTGGTGCTTAGGGAAGCTGCTGTTAAGTCGGGATAATGGTATAAGGAACATATTGGTGGTAATCTGTAAATCTCTAGTATTAATCTGAAGCCAGAAAACGTGACCATCCATGTAGTTAGTTGTGTATGTGGCTTCCAGTATTCCCTAATATGGAACTGTGTTGGAAGTCCTTGCTGGCCAGGTGTTGCAGTCTATCACAGCCTGGCTGCTTTTTCCAAAGCATTACAGCATGGAGACTCATTTCCCCTCAAGGAAACTTCCTGCTCTTTACTTGTCCTTATCCGTGGAATGTCCCGGGCCCTGGAGGATGACCTTATCTGGAAGTTGGTCTCTAAGACTGGATGCCTGATTTATCTCTAGCGTGACACTTGACACAGTTTCCTACTAGAAACCTTCCTTGCTGCATATGTGGTGATTAAGATTTTTTCCCAGAATCTCTGCTATAGGACCCTGATACCACACACGATGCATTATTATAGGAGCATGGGACTTAACGCAAATTAGAGTTTGTCTCCAGGCTCACCAATCCTATCGTTTTATCCTATCCATTTCCTATACTCAGGAATAATGAATAATGTTGAGCCGATTCACCAAAGTCATCCCCTGAAGGGCTTTATCCATCTTACCCACAGCCATCCAAACCTAGATCCCTGCTTCTGCTCCCTCTACCCTCTTGAATCAATACACCAATGATCCTGAAGAAGAAGCAGAACTGTAGAACATAAATTATGAATATATATCCAGTTAGCAGATCAAGATAAACATACTTGTCTGCCTTTCTAAGTATGCGGAGGCAGATGTATATTCTAGTCTTTCATTGTCCCTGGAAAACAAGTGTGGAGAACATAGGTATTTAATCAACTAAAGCACGATATCTGTCTTTCTATCTGTTACTGTCTCTGTCTCTGTCTTTCTCTCTCTCTGTGGTGTGTGTGTGTGTGTGTGTGTGTGTGTTTGGTAGAGGTATCTTATGTCCTGGAATGAATTGCCTATTTTGTTGTTTTTATTGCTGTTGTTATTTTTATTTCTTTTCTTTTGTTTTTTGGAAGATGTGGTTTTGATTGGGGAGACATAGTCTCTGTTCCTTTTTAACACTGAGAATGAATTGTTCACAATGCTGTGAGAAGAAGAACCAGGAGGAATCATTCACAATGAAGAAGGGTATGGACCACAGTTGTCTGTTAGAAGGAGATTTGGAATGTTTAAAGGAATGGGATGGTGAAGGTCAGGAGCTTGGAGTGCTATGTGAGATGGACAGTTTAAGAGTATTGACAGATGCCTTGAGTCTTCTCTGAGACTGGATTGTGCTGTTGACCAAGGGATAGTGAGAGCAACAGCCCAGGCTGGTACTGTTCGAAGTAAATGTTAGAATGAGAAGGGAAGAATGGAGAGGTTGAGGATGCCTCTTCCCTACTGAGGTTATGTGAGGATCAAACATTGCCATTATTGGCAGTCAGTAGCATAGAAGGTGTAGAGAGAGTTCTACAAGCCATAGGTGACTCAAATGACACAGCTGACCTCCCAGCTGTCCTGGACCTGGGCTCCTGTCTCTAAAATTTCCTTATTCCTCGGAGT